AGCCATTTCTCATTGAAGATTATTGTTTTTAATGTTTCCATCAAATGCTAAAATAAGAGCATACCCCAATAAGAAGTGGGTGGCTGAATGCTAAAACTTCAGAAATATCAGCAAAAGGATCTCTGATCCAGTGTTTGCTTCCAGTTGGCTCAGGGAAAAATATCTTCATGTTTTATTAAAGCATTAAAATTTTTTTAACTCGCCAATTTTTAAAATAAATTTCTCCACCAGGCATGGTGGCTTACACCTGTAATCCCAGTACTTTGGAAGCCAAGGCAGGTGGATCACCTGAGGTCAGGAGTTTGAGAACACCCTGACCAACATAGTGAAACCCCATCTCTACTAAAAACACAAAATTAGCCAGGCGTGGAGGCACATGCCTGTAATCTCAGCTACTTGGGAGGCTGAGACAGGACAATCACTTGAACCCAGGAGATGGAGGTTGCAGTGAGCCAAGATCGTGCCATCGTACTCAAGCCTGGGCAACAAGAGCAAAACTCCATCTCAAAAAAATAAATAAATATAAATCAATGTCTTTCTTCAATAAGCAAATAATCAAATGTTAAGAAACACAGTGAGTCAGCCATGAATCTTACACGAATGATAAATGAATACATCATTTTCATGTAATAAAATATTCATTACATGAATTCGTGAATCAGCCATTCATACAGCTGAACCTTCATAAAAAATTTTCTTGCCCAAAGCAGTGGCTTGGGCCTATAATCCCAGCATTTTGGGAGGCTGAAGCAGGTGGACCACTTGAGGCCAGGAGTTTAAGAACAGCCTGGCCAACATGGTGAAACCCCATCTTTACTAAAAATAGAGAAAATAAGCCAGGCGTGGTGGCGTGTGCCTGTAATCCAAGCTACTAGGGAGGCTGAGGTTGCAGTGAGCTGAGCTTTTACCAATGCACTCAAGCCTGGATGAAAGAGTGAGACCCCATATCCAAAAGGAAAAAAAAAAAAAAAAAAAAATCTTATCCTCAGCAATAAAAATATCATAGTGCTTAGACCATCAAATGAAAGGGTAAAGCTGTTCAAGACACTACCTACTTTGCTAAGATGTTCTACTTAAGGCACTCCAATTTTAGAAAATCTTCATTATCATGAAGAAAAAGATAATGTGATCTCTGTAGCATACCCTCAATTGATTCCATTTAAAAAGTATATGTATATAAAGATAAAGCCAATGTGACAAAATGTTAACAAGCATATGTAGGTGAAGGGTATACCAAGTTCACTGCACAATTATTCCTTCAACTTTTCTAGATATTGTAAAATTTTTCAACTAAAATAGAAAGTTAGAACACCCTACCCAGTTGAAAAGGGTAGAGTGTTCTAACCCGAGATGATCTAGTTATTTGAGTGAGTCTTTTTCCCCTTATCAGTCAGAATAGTTCAATGTCAAAGAGCTACTATGAACCATGCTCATTTTTTCAAAAGTTGTGCTGCAAAGATGCACAGTCAGTGGACATAATTTGATAGTATTCAGGATGTTATTATTTTCTTCAGCATTGACTCAAAATAAGAAAATTTATTATTTTCAATCCAAATATTGTATGGGAGTGAAGTAATGTGTAGGCTGGCATTCTTTCTACTAATTTTTCATGTCCAACATCATCCCTTGCAGTATAAACACTAGTGATCTATCAGTATCAACCTCAATATATTTTTTACACTCAAAATAATTAATTAGATGAAAAATCACTTCTGCAGTAGCATGGTTTCCACTAATAAGGAAAATATAGTTAACAAACACTATGTATTCCCTCACATGTGCCAGGAGGTTTCATCTGTTATCAATTTCTTCCAAATGTAAAATGAAATTTCTATCAATATTCCACATTGACTGTTAATATTCTGACATTGAAATATGTCAATTCTTTACTCTCTAAACACAATACTTTATTATTATCTTTGTGGCTGATTTTACAAGGGTGTCAGAAGCAGTGTGACTTGCAACCTGCTTTTGCTTTGAGAAATGTAAATTTATCTTCTCTGACTTTAGCAACTTATAGTAATCAACTTTTTCCTGAAAAACCCTATTCTATATCTGCTCTAAAAATATTAATAATTCCTTGTTTTATCAAATGAGCTACCATGCTTAGTAATAGATGATAGCAAAAGTTTTGATGGCTTCACTACTACTCTAAAAAAGCCAATGTACTGGAAACTAGAGAATAATAGCTCTCTAGTCCAATCCAGTTTTTGGATACTCAATATCATACTAGTTATCTGAATCTCTCCTTTTTAGTGGCTTAGACAAAAATCAACACATACACAGATTCACTTTGTCTTGGCACACAGGGATTTAAACTGAACACATATACTGCAGTGTTTATACTATCAACTTTATATTTAATAAAATGGTTTTGGGTTTTTTTAATTAATATTAACAGTTCTGGTTGTATCTGCTACTATTTAACAATACAATGAGCCACTTTTAAATAATTGATCTATTTTGGGAACTAGAGATATGATCCAAACAGTAACAAAAAAAAACCAAGTTTAATGAACATAAAATAATACATAAATGACAGGAAAACAGAAAAGCCAAAACAACCTGCATCCTGCTTTAAATGCTAGCTGACACCAAATGACCAATTTAGTCCTTGCAGCACATGTACTTAAAAACAAGTTATGAAAGATCCTTAGGAAAAAAGAGCCTAAGCTTTCTGGCACCAACTGCATAATAATTTTTCCTTCTTACAAGAAAAAAGAATTTATATCCAGTGTTCTTATGAAAGGTAAATTTACTATATCCTTTCCTTTTAGAAGATAAAGCGATAAAATATTCAGAACCTTCAATCTCTTTGTCTAGCCTATATTTAAGAAGAAACTTACCCCTTTATAGTTCCCTAGAGTGAAAGAAAGTTGTAAATGGATTCTACTATGGACAGAGGTCATGGAAAAAAAACTCCCATGGGCCGAAAAATTCCCCGTGAGCACAGAAGTTCTTTATAGAGGTTCAGCTGTGTGACACAAAACTCTTATTTGTCCCCCAATCTCCAAGCAGTTTCAGAATTCAAGATCATCAACTGCAGAAACTTTCCACCTTCAAGCAGTAATACTGGAAAGCAGGACATGTAATATGTAAATATTCTTTGGACATTGTATCTCCATGAGAAACAAAAAACAAATAGAACCCTTTAATTGGTCTAAGTGTCATAATATCCATTTCATTTTTATGACAACCTGTTTTCATTTTATGAAAATAATCAAAGGATGATATAATCCAAAAGTAGAGGTTTCCCCAAACTTGACAGACAACAGCATATGAAAGTAATAGATTGAGACATAAGGGGACTCTATAAAAATTATTAATAGCCTTACAATCACAACTTGGGAAATGTATGTAAACAAAATTTCTTTACTGTAGAAATTCTGTACTACAGGGATTTATAGACCATAATTTCAAAGACATTAATTTAAAGTAAATGTGATTAAATATTCATTAACTATTTATTAACCCATTTATGCCGGAGGTTGCAATTTTTTGAATTTTTGCAGTCACACCTTGGCAATGACCTTGAGCAGTAGGATAGTAACGCCTACATTCTTAGCATTCCAATAATGGAACACTAAGCAGAGATGGGTTAAATCAAACTGACCATAGTAATAAGTATTCAATCTCTAGGCTGGCATGGTAGCTCACGTCTATAATCCCAGCACTTTGGGAAGCCAACAGGGAAAAATCACTTGAGCCCAGGAATTCAAAACCAGCTTAGGCAACATGGCGAAACCCCAACTCTACAAAGAAAAATACAAAAATTAGCAGGTGTGGTGGCACGCACCTGTAGTCACAGCTACTCAGTAGGCTGAGGTGGGAAGATTGCTTGAGCCTGGGAGGTAAAGGCTGCAGTGAGCCACGACTGCACCACTGCAGCCTGGACAACAGAGTGAGGCCCTATGTATCTCAAAAAAAACACACACATACACACACACACACACACACACAATATCTGAAGGATTTTCAGGTTTTACTATGTTAATTTGCTATCTGTTCCTATAACACTGTAATTCTTTGTACGTATCTAATATTTTACACTTTTTAAATAATAGTTTCTTTTGTTTTTGGAAATGGAGTTTTGCTCTTGTTGCCCAGGCTGGAGTGCAATGGCATGATCTTGGCTCACTGCAACCTCTGCCTCCCAGGTTCAAGAGATTATCTTGCCTCAGCCTCCCAAGTAGCTGGGATTACAGGCAAGCACCTCCACGTCCAGCTAATTTTGTATTTTTAGTAGAGATAGGGTTTCTGTTGGTCAGGCTGGTCTCGAACTCCTGATCCACCCACCTCAGCTTCCCAAAGTGCTGGGATTACAGGTGTGAGCCACTGCACCTGGCCTTAAATAAGTTTCTTTTCCAAAAATGTAAGCTCTTTGAGAACAGCAAGCAATATTATTTGTCTTTTTTTTTTCTTAATCACTTTCTCAACAACAGCAAAATAAAACTCAAGAGTTTAAATGATCTTTCTGAGGTCATAAGACATACTCAAACCTATATCTGACTTCAAATGTAATGCTCTCCTTCTTTGCCAAATTGTTCTCCTAACATATTTACACAATATCAAATCCTTAAAAAGTAATCTGCAGGGCCAACTACCTTGGAAATGTTTATGTTCAGATGTCTAACAACTGAAGAAAAAGTGCTATTAAAATTATTTTATCTATGCTAAGAATCAGCAGAATACAGTTCAGGAAAAAGGTTAAGGTTAATCATTCAGCAGAGTCTGAAAAATAAATAAGAAACAGAGCCTCATGCTTTAATTTATAATTCCTACGGATGGCAGCCAGCTACTCATACTGGGTATTCCCTATGTTATTGACTGCATATGACTAAAAGTTAAGATTGACTACACAGGGCAATAACTAGTAACATGAGAATTTGCAAGAAGTTATGGCAGTCAGTTACAAAAGACTAAACTAATTTTTCTTAATTTAGAAACAGTCATAAAATATCCTTCTATTTTGATGTAATTCTGCAGAATTATTTACATACTCTTCTTAATGTTTTTGGTTTGTGGATGTGGCTGAATTCCTCCAGCAGGAAGTCCATAAGTGCTTATTCGTTGTACAAGGCTTGCTACATTCCCATGCCTTTCCCGTCTGATGGGTAAACTGTCATCTTTGAATTCTGTCTCTCTCTTAATTTCCTACAAAAGAGAAAATAAAGAGGCAAGCTAAGTTACATTTTATTTATACTAAATCCTCAAATGTAAAATATCAAAAAATAGCTACAGTGATTACTATATAAATCATAGTATCAATAGTTTTCAACCTTTGCTATGCTCAAACATATCCGAAGAATAAAACACATTTTAGTAACAGTGACTCATGAGGTTAAGTTTTATCAGAACTGGAGAAGAAGATAAAAGAGGCTCAAACTCCACCCCCATTACCCACCCCAAGATACAAAGAAACACTGAGATACTGAGATACAAAGAAAAACAATACTTCAAAGTCAGAAGTGGACAAACTTTCTTTAAAGTGTCAGACTGTAAATATTTTACAATTTGCAGGCCATGCACTCTGTTGCAACAATCAACACTGTTATGTGTGCTATAAATGCAATCATATATTTAAATGAATATAACTATGTTCCAATAAACTTTATAGACACTAAAATTTTAATTCAAAATAATTTTATATGTCATTATATATTATATATTATCCTTTTGATTTTTTCCAACCATTTATAACATTATTGATTTTTTCCAACCATTTATAACATTCTTAGCTCATGGGTCTTACAAAAACAGGCGGTATTCAGACCTGTCCTGTGGGCTGGTAGTTTGATGGCCCTTGATCTAAGTCATGGCTATAAAATAAGACATGTGAACCATCATGGAAAAGTATAAAATTGTATTGAAAGACAAGAAGACAAAAACAAAGTTATGCCATGTTCAGTAACTGAAAACTCAATATCATAAAGATATCAGTTCTCCCTTAAAATTGATGTAATAAATGAATGCAAGTGAAGTATAAAAAAAATTTGGAGCAGCAATTGAATAACCTGTTTCTAAATTTATACAGAACAAAAGGCTAAGAACAGTGAAAATACTTCAAGGAAAAGAAAGAGAAGGGACTTTTTGTTAACCAAAATACAAAGAAAAACCATAACAATATAATCAGACAATGTGCTACTGGAATTAAAGACAGACATACAGATAAATGAAACAAAACAGGGAATCCATAAACAGACAAACTTAATTTAAAACAGAAAAAGTGAGGAAAGATAGAATCTTAAAATACATTGTGCATGAAAATCTAACGTTCCATATTTAATAGGAAATGAAACTGGATACCTACCTCACTTATTTCATATTAAAATTAACAATTTTAACTTGATATAGCAAGTATTTTATACATATAATATATATAAATATGTAATATATTATATGTAATATATATAATATATATATGTTATATATATATATTTCCCCCTTCAAAGTCAGAAGTGGAAGACCCCCAGACAAGGTCTTCCTCTGTTACTCTCAGGTTGGAGTGCAGTGATGTGATCACGGCCTACTACAGCATCAACCTCCTGGGCTCAAGCGATCCTCGTGCCTCACCTACCAAAGTACTAGGATTAATTACAGGAGTAAGCCATGGTGATCAACCAAGTATACATTTTTTAACTTTTACAACAGAACACTTCTATCTCAAGCTCATAAATTCTTATGACAATTGTAAAAGTACTGCAGATCACTTTAAAAGTATCTTGTGAAAAGGATTTTTAAAAAACATACTTCAAATACTTGTGAACTGATAAACTAGTTTTTTAATACAACGCAGAAGTACTGTAATTATTAATAACTATATTTTTTTTTAAAAAAAATCAATGTGGAACAGGAAAGAATACTGGTAACCTATCCATTTCCAAGATTTGAGAGTTGTGCAGTGCCCAAAAGGTGTACACATTTCATTAGTAATAATTGTAATTAAGAATAAAGTGTTTTTTCTTTCAGTTTCTGTGTATTATTTTTAAATGGCTATAACTTGTTAAAATATGAACACTTATTAAGTTTCTTGAATTCAACAATAAGTACAACTCTTAGGTCTTTCTTTTGGTGTAGGAGCATCAAGAAATAATGACAGAGACAATAAAGGTGTTGTGTAAACCAAGAAAGTTTGGGAATCTCTGGCACAGCAATTGAAAATGAGAATTCTTAAAGAAATTTTTTTACTCTTAAAAGCTGATTATCTTAGTATGATACCAAAAAACACATTTTTGGGGTAGAGATAGGATCATGCTATGTTGCCCAGGCTGGTCTTAGCTCCTGGGCTCAAATGATCCTTCCTCCTTAGCCTCCCAGAGTGCTGGTACTAGTTTTACCCAGCAAAAACCCACAAATTTTAAAATAACATTCAGTTATACGTTTAAAAGATAAAAAAGCAATTACTTTGTAAATAGAGAAACAGTTCTAGCAATATATATCCACAAATACCAAACTAAATAAGACACTGAATGAATACTACTCCTTAATAAAACTCCTGGTTCAATATACACTGAAGTAAATTTATATTTGTGCTACTTGAAACAGTATCACCTTTCTTCTCTTTAGCATTTCCATAAATACTTATTGAGCACCTACTAGTACTAGGTAGTAGCTAGGCATACAAATATTAACAAGAGAGACTGTCTTTTGTTCTTATAGTACTGTACACTTTACAAAAGATTACATAACATAATCAGGCAGTTAAAATTCAGTGTAATAAATATCCAAAAACTGATTATCTTAGTATGATATCAAAAACAATCCAAACATCCATCAACAAATGAATAAACAATGGAATACTAAGCAGTAAAAATGAAGACGTTATAGAGACACAAAAACGTCCATGAATTTCTAATTCTAATTGAAAGAAGCCAGACACAAAATATACGTGGTACATTAAAAATCTTAGAAAATACAAATTAATATATAGATTAGAAAGCAAATCAATGGTTTCGGGGTAGAATCACAGAGAGAAACAAACAGTTAAATGGCACAAGAGCTCTTGATAAACACATAGAGCCTCTGCATCTTCATTGTGCCAGTGGTTTTATGGTTGTATACAATTGTTTAAAAACTTACTGAATTTCACATTTTAAATGGATGCCACTTACTGTACATAAATTATACTTCAATAAAGGTCTTTTTAAAATTTTTTCATGATAAATGCTATTAACAGAAAACACCAGATGCCTAACACAGGAAGTACAGCCAATATAAACTCAGAGGTGGTAAGGCAAATCAGGATGACTTATTGGAGAAAGTGACATCTTTACTAAGAAAAAAAAAAAAAAATGAGAGTAATCAAGGTACAGAGAAGGCAACAGGAAATGTCCTAACAGGAAAGAATGATGTATGAGCAGGCCGGAAAGCAATGGGGAGCACAGAGCTTCTGAGGAATGAAGACAACACTAAATTTAGCTGGAGCATGGAAGGAAAGGAAAGATGATGAGGGTGGTAAAATTCAGGAACAGCAAAGCGAGCAAAATTCAGGAACAGCAAAGCAAGCAGACAGCTGATTTAAGCTCTCTGAGTCTGGGTAGGTAATCTGAAATACAGCAAGTCCCCACTTAAGGTCTTAGTTACTTTCTTGGAAACTGTTACCTTAAGCGAAACAATGTACAAGGAAACCAATTTTACCATAAAGCTAGTCGACCTAAAAAAGAGTTAAATTTGTGCAACATACCTCTGGGTCACAAAAACATCACCAAACTCATAAATAAAGATGAAAACACTTCTAATAATAAACACTGAAATAAATGTGAGCTACAGATGCATTTAGCAAAATTAATAAAAACAAGTAAGATAATTATTTAGCCACCTATTCCAGTTCAGGGTTTCAGAGCCTATCCCCAGCAGTTCAGGGTACTGGGCAGGAACCATCCCTGTACAGAACATCATTCCATCGCAAGGCTCACTCAGACTGGGAAGATGCAGACACACCAATGAACCTCAAGTCTGCATCTTGGTGATGTGGGAGGAAACTGGAGTACCCAAAGAAAACTCACGCAGACCGTAGAACATGCAAACTCCACAGACAGTGGCCCCAGCCAGGAACAAATTTTTTTTTTTAAACAATATTATAACAAAACAACACTGAACAAAATGAATTTATGTGAGGATCTAATAGAAGATGAGATGTTGCCTTAGTGGAGTAAGTGGAAGGCGGACAGCACTAGAGGTAAATATACCAGATGAAAGCAGAATGTGCCCTAAGTTGTAATAGTGACAAAGGGGAGAAATGCTGAAAAGAGTCTAAAAATATTCAAGAAGTACAATCTAGATAATTCAGTAGATACAACCTAAGAAGAAAGAGTCAAAGATGATGCCCAAGTTCCTGACTTGGGCAACTGCTCAGATATTTGAGGACATCCCGCAAAAAAAAGTAGTAAATTAGAAGCTCAAATAGCCATTAGTTGTGAACTATTTAAATAAACTATAGGATATGCATATGATAAAATACTGTGTAGTCATTAAAGAATGATATATTTATATTACAAATGATTCTGAATCACACTATTCAATAAAACAAAGCAATTTTATAACACCACATATATAAAACGTTTTATTAAAAATACATGCTACCCAGAAGCTTCTTAGCCAACAATATGACACAAACATATATTTACAAGTATGAGCTAAAAACCAAATGTAGGTAAAGACGACGACTTGATTTTTACTGGTGAACCCAATTTTCTTGACTCTGAACTCCCATGTAACTCTGGGTAGAAAACTAAATCTTGCCACTTTCAAAAATACCTAATGAAATCCAGGGTGGTGTCACTGGCACAAGCAGTATCCAGTACTTTTTCTGTTGGGGACAAACAACTAATCTGCAGGTTATCACTCAACGTACTCCAAGCAGCTTCCTGGCACAGTTGGCAACTCAGTTACTTCCATGTCCCATACCCAATCACCAAATATCAGATGCTATCCCTTTCTTCTACTGGACAGCCTCTTCAAGGTAGCATATTATTTCATTCATTATGGTGCACTGTGCCCACAGGAAATAAGATCTACTTTATATGAAAATTACCTCCTTCAGGAAAGGACTGAAAGAGAAGCATACTTTGTTTTCACACTCCTTTCTATTCTCCACATTATAATTCTCCCTTCCCTTTCTTTCACCAAACTCTTCACCTCTTTGCTCCTATGGA